AGCAACAGCCAGGGCTTTGAATTGCCGTGGCTGTCAGTGTGCAGTGCCCTGGGAGGAACATTACAGGGACAGCAACAGCCAGGGCTGTGAATTGCTGTGACTGGCAGTGTGCAGTGTCCTGAGAGCCTGTCCTGAGAGGAGCATTCCCAGGACAGCAGCAGTCAGGGCTGGCAGGATGCAGTGCTCTGAGCCTGTCCTGAGAGGAGCATTGCAGGGACAGCAGCAGCCAGGGCTGTGCTGTGAATGGCCATGGCTGGCAGTATGTGGTGCCTGGAGTGCCTTTCCTGTGAGGAGCATTCCCAGGACAGCAGCAGCCAGGGCTGTTCTGTGAATTGCCATGGCTGGCAGTGTGCAGTGCCCTGAGTGCCTTTTCCTGAAGGGAGCATTCCAAGGACAGCAGGAGCCGTGGGCTGGCAGTGTGCAGTGCCCTGAGAGCCTTTCCTGAGAGGAACATTGCAGTGCAGTGAGAGCAGCAGCCAGGGCTGGCAGGATGCAGTGCCCTGAGCCTGTCCTGAGAGGAGCATTCCAGGGACAGCAGCAGCCAGGGCTGTGCTGTGAGTTGCCATGGGCTGGCAGTGTGCAGTGCCCTGAGTGCCATTCCTGAGAGGAGCATTGCAGGGAGAGCAGCAGCCAGGGCTGTGAATTGCCATGGGCTGGCAGTGTACAGTGCCCTGGGAGGAACATTACAGGGACAGCAGCAGTCAGGGCTGTGAATTGCCGAGGCTGGCAGTGTGCAGTGCCCTGAGAACCTTTCCTGAGATGAGCATTCCCAGGACAGCAACAGCCAGGGCTGTGAATTGCCATGGCTGGCAGTGTGCAGTGCCCTGAGAGGAGCATTCCCAGCACAGCAGCAGTCAGGGCTCTGAGTTACCATGGCTGGCAGTGTGCAGTGCCCTGAGTGTCTTTTCCTGAATAGAGCATTCCAGGGACAGCAGGAGCCGTGGGCTGACAGTGTGCAGTGCCCTGAGAGCCTTGCCTGAAGGGAGCATTCCCAGGACAGCAGCAGTCAGGGCTCTGAGTTGCCATGGCTGGCAGTGTGCAGTGCCCTGAGTACCTTTTCCTGAAGGGAGCATTGCAGGGACAGCAGGAGCCCTAGGCTGGCAGTGTGCGGTGCCCTGAGAGCCTTTCCTGAGAGGAACATTCCAGGGACAGCAGCAACCAGGGCTGTGCTGTGGGTTGCCATGGCTGGCAGTGTGGAGTGTGCAGGGCTGTGAATTGCCATGGCTGGCACTGTGCAGTGCCCAGAGCACCTTTCCTGATGTCTGTTCCCTTTCAGAACGACTCGGTGGTGGCGGGTGGCGGTGCCCCGAGTGCCTTTCCTGAGAGGAGCATTCCCAAGACAGCAGCAGCCAGGGCTGGCAGTGTGCAGTGCCCTGAGAGCCTTTCCTGAGAGGAACATTCCAGGGACAGCAGCAACCAGGGCTGTGCTGTGAATTGCTATGGCTGGCAGTGTGCAGTGCCCTGAGAGCCTTTCCTGAGAGGAGCATTCCCAGGACAGCAGCCAGGGCTCTGAGTTACCATGGCTGGCAGTGTGCAGTGTGCAGGGCTGTGAATTGCCATGGGCTGGCACTGTGCAATGCCCTGAGAGCCTTTCCTGATGTCTGTTCCCTTTCAGAACGACTCGGTGGTGGCGGGCGGCGGTGCCCTGAGTGCCTTTCCTGAGAGGAGCATTCCCAGGACAGCAGCAGTCAGGGCTGTGTTTTGCTGTGACTGGCAGTGTGCAGTGCCCTGAGAGCCTTTCCTGATGTCTGTTCCCTTGCAGAATGACTCAGTGGTGGCCGGTGGTGGTGCCATCGAGATGGAGCTGTCCAAATACCTGCGGGACTATTCCCGGACCATCCCAGGGAAGCAGCAGCTGCTGATTGGAGCCTACGCCAAAGCCCTGGAGATCATCCCCCGGCAGCTCTGTGACAACGCTGGCTTTGATGCCACCAACATCCTCAACAAGCTGCGAGCCAAGCACGCCCAGGTATGGCCCAGGGCACAGTGTGTGTGTGTGTGAGTGATTCCCTTCTCCTGGATTTTCCTCCTGGAGCTGTCAGAGCCGCTGTAACTCAGCCCAGATTAAACACTGTGTTTGTTCCAGATCACAGGTGGGCTCGGCACAGGTTGCTATAAATGGAAAGGATCTGTTTTCCCTTTGATCCCAGCTGTCGGGTGACTTCCCGAGCTGGGAGTTGGGATTTGCTTCTTAAAAATTTGTCAGGAAGGAGCTGCTTTGGTAGACATTAAAGGTGTCAGTGCAGGAGTCWGCTGAGCTGAGTGTTTTACACAGGAGCTGCAGGTCCTGAGTGCACATCCTGGGGAGATCCCAACTGCAGTGCTTGGAGTTTGCCCTTGGATTCTGTCACTCCCAGCACATTTCATCCTGCTGCTGCTGCTGCTGGGGTTTGGGGAATGCCCCAAAATGAGGGTGCAAAACGCAGGGAGTGAGGCAGTGAGGTGGGAATGAGTCCTGTGAGGTTCCATGGCAGGGAATGCCC